TCCCATGCGACCATCTGTTTTTCAAACAGCAGTAAGGAATTCACCATTCAAAAACTCGATTGCCCTGATAGAGACCCATAATGTATGAATTCCTATAGCTACTGCTTTGTGATTGTAATACAGGCCAAAGGTAGCCCCGGCTCTGAGTGTGTACAGGTAACTAACAAGAGTAAGAAAATAATTATTTCTCCAATCTCAGTGAAAACTTTGGGAATCCTCATACTACAGGACAGAAGAGCACAGAAGAGATGAAGCTACAGACACATGCATCAAGTGAAACTGTCCTGTAATCTTGTGTTTTTTAGAATACTAAGATTCCAAAAAGCATGAAATTCGCTTTTCTTTCACATCAAAGACAATGATTTGCTGTACTAAGGTATTCATCAAATAAATGTGACAGAAAAAACAAGGCAGGATGGATTAGAAATCCTTTGCTCTGAAAGGGCACATCTAAAGTAATAGACTGAGACTTAGTTGTTCTTTTTTTTTCATGCCATAGGCCCCTTCAGTAAGTACGATGAATAGATAGATGAGACTTCTCTCAGATGATACTCAAACAATGCCAACTTTCAAAGTTATCGTGGGCAGCCTTAACCCAACTTATATAACAGACAATTCAGATAAGGAAAGGAAATGCTACTTTGCCTTTCATGACCTTCCCTGAATTTTAATCAATCATTACATCAAGTTAAAGGTCACAAGGCCATTTTACCTTGAATTTTGAAATCCTTGGCTGTAAGGAATGGTATTAATTCCTGTCCATCATAGGTACATTACACTTATTTTCTATGGAATAAAGATATTTCAAATCTAATTATAAACGACTACCAGTTGTACTACTATATACACGTTCTCTCACACATTTTAGAGTCAAACTTTTTTACATCTTATGTAAAACATATCTATCAAGAAATCTTAGTTTTCAAGCTAGGCATGGTGGCACATGCCTGTACCAATCCTGACACTTTGGGAGTCTGGGGGAGGAGGAATGCAAATTCCAGCCCAGCCTAGGCAATTTAGTAAGACTCTGCCTCCAAAAAAAACAAAACAAAACCTAATAACAACAACAACAACAATAACAAAACAGGTGGGCTGCAGCTCAGTGAGAAGGCTGTGGGTTCAATATTCCAGTACCACCAAAAAAGGAATTTTAGCTTTAGTTTTCAGCCAAACACAGTGGCACAAACCTGTAACCCCAGTGGGAGGCTATACAAGGAAAATTCACAATTCTAGCCCACCTTGGGCAATGTAGTGAAACCCTGTCTCAAAAAAAAAGGGCTGGGGGTGTAATTTAGTGTGAAAGCAGGCCCTGAATTTAACATCCCCCCCAAAAGTTTTCAAAACCTGAAATACAATTTTTATGAACAAAAAGTACTACTGGGCCTTCTAATATCAAATTAAACTCATAAATGACTATGGTTCAACCAAGGTAATAAAAAAAGTTTTCATTCATGACCCAGTATCTCACAGATAAGATGTGCCCAATAATTACTGACTTGTTAAGTTTGGCCTAACATTTTCCAAGTTATTTCAGTACAAAGAAGTAATGCAAGAATGGCAATCTGTATAACTGTATTTTGTATATTTTCCTATCCAAAGGTAAAAATGAAACAGTCACTCATCTCAAAGCACCAGAATAATTTCAGAAAGTATGTAAGTACTTGGACACAAGACACCATCAAAAAACATGGAAATTTTAAGTATGTGAATTCCATAAATCCTTGTATGAGCCCTCAGAACGATAGTGACCACAATGAACTCCAAAAACTGGGAAACAAATGAAAAGGCAAGTATTTTATAACTTTCACATTATACAGAATACTTTTAGATACAGAATAGATACTAGAAACTATATGAAAAAGTACATAAAACAGTCAATGTAAGTAAAATATCTATTATGGCATCTTATACATGTAACAATAAGACTCAAAACCCACCTAAAATATTACCCCTGAAAAATTGTTTTATAGGTCTGCATTTAGCACTGATAACATGAGCCATAACTGTGAATGACAAAATACTCACTTTTTGCTTCCCTGCCATACATGTCAGAATCACACTTCAAATTATAGATGGTATGTGGAATTTAAGTACATTTATACAAAATTGAACAAATCTAAATCTGAGAGTGAAAAAAAGGAGTAGTTTGCAAGGGTCTCAGAAGGAAAAAAAATGTGGGCATGTGTTAAATTCTTTGTGTAATTGGTGGTGTATTTGGGTGGTGGGCCTCCTGATAGCTACACACTCAACTGACTGTTCTGCTCATTTGGAGATCATCAGTCTGTTCAGCAATTATGGGGGAGGGGAAACCACATGAGGGACTCAGGCTATGTGCTCAATATCCTTAATTTCTAAATATTCCTTCAGGGTTACCCTATATGTCAGGTAGATTATGGCTTAAGATACATCCTAGAAGACTATTTTCAACATGAATGTATCGAATTTATAGGTAAAACACCCCCCCCAAAAAAAAAACCCTACAAAAACCAAACCAAACCAAAAACCCCAGAGATGCCTATATACTAATATATTAAGAAAACATTTGTATTTACAAGTAACTACAGAAAGGGTAGCTCTTATTAGAGCTTAACATTGCAAGTTTAGTAAAATGGGTAGCAAAACATCTATTTCAGTAAGTCAAATATGGACTAATCAATGCAAGGAGACATAAATAAAAATTGACCCAATATTTAAAGGATCAAAACATGTCAGCTGTAGAAAATAAAACAAAACCCGATTTTCCTTCTATTGTGGTTTTCAGAAAAATATTTAAATTCTAATTACTTTGGTTTTAAATGGATTTTTTAAAAAAAATCTAAATTTTTACTATCCAAGCACAAATCATAAAAAACTGCTAAAAACTAAAATCAATCAACCCAAAACAAAAGTCTTTATGATCCAATCTCCAAATGCTGATAACCATTAATGAATAAAAGGTTATGAATTGCTAATTCTCATCTCCCCATCAATAAAAGGCAAACCAGCTCAACAGTGAAAATTCCCAGGAAAGCAAGGGTTCTTCTTAGTCCTGAAGCAGTCACACTGCCTAAGTGCAGCTCCCTGCAGCCAACAGCATTAATGGACGCTGCACTGCTGTCCTTCCCTGGAGACAGCAGCCAGCACTACTCAAGCTTCTCACGTAGCAACCAGAGCTCCAGAGCCAGCAGCTGCTGCTGCCTTGTATACTCACCCCTGTGATCCAACACAGGAACAACCTCCTCTTTACCCCACCCCCACTTCTTACACTTTTTTTTTTAAGGGGGGGGAGGAGTACTCCAACCTAGAAGGGCATAAAATGCTGCTCTTAGGGCAAAACAATTTTAAAGCCATCTTTTTAAATTGAGTTTTTTTATTAGAAAAAATCAACACTTGCCAATTCCAAATATTCGTTTTAATTAAGCCAGCAATTTAGGAGCAAGGATTAAGCTGTAGTTTTCGTAAGGCCGATTTTCCAAGCACTCAACAGTCGAATTCAAATTTGCAGCTAGGCAGCCTGTGCCATTTCCTACCGAAGAGTGTAATACATTTTTCTACACATAATAACAGTCTGAGTTAACCTTAAAGACTCTAATCCCATAACAGGTCAGAATGTTTGCTTACAGAAGAGAATTAATGATTCTCTTGCGAATGCTTGAAGAAAACCAAGATTTCCTGTGTCCTCCAAAGGGCCCGCAAACCCCTGATGTATTTTCTGCCTTAGTCCTAGCTCAGATTGCACACATCTAAAATTACCCCCTATAACTTTCTTCTGAGTGACCTAAAAACACTATTAACGTAAAATTAATCATCAAAAATACTTTCTCCCAAATTCAGGGCACACAGATACTCTCTCCTTTAAAGCTCTTAACACACAACTCATTGCTGGATCCTCCACAATCAAAAGTACACCTATAAAACATACCCAAGGGAGAAACATAAATGTGACCTTGGTCACAAAATCAACTTTAGTCAAGGATAAAGGAAATCAGCAGTAGTGTGAGCAAAGAAAAACTGGAGAACGAACTCAGGTATAGACAAAGCACAGTGAGACCAGAGCTCAGGGCAAGAAGTGAGTTACTGGTGAACACATTGCACAAGTAACATGAGAAAGCAGAAAATGCAGGTCATACACGCACCCCTGACCCAGACCAGCAGAGCTGGCTGCAGCATCAATATCCAACAGAAAGACGAGCACAAGGCTCTACAGAATAAATTAGCATAGAGGGGGCTTTCCCAGCCGTTAAAAACTTTCCCTTCTCACGCAATTTATCTATTTAAACCAGGGTTTTTTCCTATCCCTGTTGACTTCACATTTTGCGTTGCACGCAGAGGACGAAAGAATTCATAAAGTGTGTATTTTTCTGCCTTGAAAAACGTTCTCAAAAGATCGTTTTCCACGCCCAAGGCATGGAAAACACCAAAATCTGGCTTAACTCCATGTTGTATCCCTACAGATTCGTGGGGAAGATCTCAGATATCCGGGGGCATTCGCCATAGGGAGCCCAAGAATGTGAGGTGGGGGTGGCGAAGGTAATGTCTTCAGTGTGGGAAAGGAAGCAGCCATCTGAGAAGGCGACTCGAGAACGAGAGAAGGCGTCCTGAAGATCATGGGAGAGGATCGGAACCATCAGAGTTGTTTCAAGGCCGCAGTTACGGGGGTACCGGAACAGAAAGGAGTGTGCCCGTGTGTTTTCGGGGAGGGAGCGCGAGGCCTACCCTCCAGGCAAAGGTGAACGTGGAGCAGGCAGTTCCCAGGGTGGGGAGGCGTGGGGGAAGGGAGCGTCCTGCACTGGAAAGGCACCAAAGGGGAGTGGGATCGGCTCTATCGGGGTGGGTGGGGGGGCTCTGCCGGAGAGAGGCGACAGCGTGTAGGGGTGCGATGGGCGCTATTCTCCTGCCGAGCCCCGGAGGACCGGGCCCGCGCCCTGAGGACGCGAGCGCCGGCAGAGTGACGAGGTGACCCTTCCTTCTTTCCCGGGGCCCGATGTGAGGGTCGGGTCTCCTTCCTGTCGGACCCTTACCTTGTCCCAGGCGCGGCCGGGGCCTGGGCCCGGGCTGCGGTGCACGGCACTCCCGGGAAGCAGCAAGACTCGAGTTAGGCCCAACGCGGCGCCACGGCGTTTCCTGGCCGGGAATGGCCCGAACCCGTGTGGTGGGGGTGGGGGACAGAAAGGCGGAGCGAGCCGAAGGCGGGGAGGGGGAAGGGCCAGGGAGGGAAGGGGCCGGCGCTACTGTGTTGGCGGACTGGCGGGACTGGGGCTGCGTGAGTCTCTGAGCGCAGGCGGGCGTCGGCCGCCCCTCCCCCGGCAGCGGCGGCGGCGGCGGCAGCGGCGGGGGCGGCAGCAGCAGCTCACTCACCCCGCTGCCGGAGCGGAAACGCCACTGACCGCACGGGGATTCCCAGCGCCGGCGCCAGGGGCACCCGGGACACGCCCCCTCCCGCCGCGTGATTGGCCTCTCCGCCCACTGCCCCGTACTAGTTGGCCAGCTCGCCGCCAATCAGCGGAAGCCGCCCGGGCTGCCTAGAGAAGAGGCTGTGCTCTGGGGCTGCGGCTCCTCAGAGAGCCTCGGCTAGGTAGGGGAGCGGAGCTCTGGTGGGAGGGAGGTCCGGTGGCCTGGGGGAGGGGTGGCTGAGGTGGACCGACTGTCGCTGGGAGTCGCCTTCTCCAGCGGGATGTCGGAATAGAACGATTTCACTATATGAACGGGAACTGGGATGGTCGGATAGGAGCGGAAGGGCGGGAAGCCCTGCGGCAACCGGAGGGGGAGGGAGAAGGGAATGGAAAAGGCTCGAAGTCGGACGGCCATTGCTCCTACGGAGGGAGGGGCGCTTCCGGCCTCACCTCTAGACGCTGATTGGCCATTTCTCCTCCCGCCGTATGTGAAAACACAAATGGCGTATTTTGGTTGGAGTAAAGTGCCTGTCAGTTACAGCCTTGGGAGTGCGCAGCCGCCTGGCGACTCGCGCGGCCTCCTGAGTAGGGCGGGCGGGTAGGTGGGGTGAGGGCCGGTCGTGCGGGTGCGGTCAGCCACCGCGGGGGAGGGGAGGTCAGTGAAAGTGGCTCCCGCGCGGGCGTCTTCTCACCCGCCCCTGCCTTTGGGGGAGTCGGTTTGCCCGCCGTCTGTTAGGTTCTGGCGTCTGATTGGCTGCTGTGTCCTGTGGAATGGGTTCTTGCTATTGGCTCGGGTCCTAAATGAGCGAAACCACTTTGGAGGCCCGTCGGGGGTGGCGGGAGGCGGGCATTGGTTGGGTCCTCCCGGAGGCCCTGAGCTGCAGTGTCTGGCCCCGCGCCCGAGCGCAACGTGGCAGGAAGCGCGCGCCGGTGGTGGGGGCGGGCTGTCGGTTTAGGCTTCAGGGTGTTGGCTGCCGCGACTCCGCCCCGGTTCCCTACCTCTGAAAGGGCAGGAGCTGCCGGACCCGCTCCAGGCAAGCCCTGGAGGTGGGAAAGACACGGTGGTCTGGCCGCTTTGGGGCGCCTGTTCTCTAAAACCGCGCTAGCTGCAGTCCTGAGCCCTGCAGTGTAGGGGGCGGAGAGACGGCCGCACCCTTCTCGGCGCGGGGGCGGGGGGAGGGGGAGGAGTGCCGCAATACCTTTCTGGGAGTTTTTTGCTGCCTTCAGCCCTCTTAAGGACCGCCCTGGGTCTAGAAGAATCCCTCCCCTCCCCCTCCGTGATATCATCGCTGTCTCCGTGTCGATTCATTTCTCGATTATGGGCGGGATTCTTAGACCAGACTTAAAGGCTAACCTACTGCCTGGGCGTTGTCCTGTTGGAATGGAGCAGGTGTAAATTTTGAGGGGCAGAATTGGAATTGAGTTTGTGTCAGAAGGTAATTATAGAGGCTGAGGAGTGAAGTAGGGGCTAGGCAATCACGTGTGGTTAGCTTTACGAAGCGACAGTGTGGGTTATTAATACTTAAGCATTATTTTTGGAGCGTTTTTCCTGGAAATAGATTAAAGGTATGACTGACTTTTATATTCACCCCACTTGAATTTTGTTATACCACCGAAGTACAGTATGGCACCTCACACTGTCATAAAATTTTAGCCTTTGCTTCAAAACACTGTGCTTTTCTCCCACCACTTTCCTCCTGTTCCCTCTGCGTCCTTCCAAGCAGGGATTTTAGCAACTCATATTGTGGTTCCATTTTCCAAGTGTTACTTGCTCATCCAGTCCCCAGACATGCCACTGGCTTTCTTCCTCCTGATCTCGAGTATGCCTGGTGAGTCATGAAACCAGACAGATTGGTTCCACCAGAAATTTAGCCTGAACTGAGGCCTGTAACTTAGAAGTACTTTTATTCCTCCATAATGTACTTTCTCGGATATTTGCCTTGATTTTCTTTATCTTTTCTCAGCTGGTATTCTTCCCTTGGGCCTGCCTAGTCACAATCCAGATAACTTTGATTACTGATCTCTTATCACCCGTTTTCCTTTGAACGCTTCTCATTGCATCCCTTTATTTCTGTTCTCACCAGTTAGTAATTGAACTAAGTTGCTTATATAATAGCTTCTCAGCTTATCTCTGCCTTCACTATTATTTTCTGATACATCCTACATATTGCCAAGATGATAGATGAAACTCCCTTACTGGTTCCTTACTACTTACAGGGTGAAACCCATCCTCATGAATGTCATGGCCAACTACTCTCATTGTTTTAGCATCAACTTTTAAGCAGTTTTTTTCCTTTATCACTGTAGGGACAGGAGCCCCATAGGCAGAAGAGAGAAGTAGGTCTTGGGAAGATTCGAGAGGGACAAAAACACAAGGAAGTGAAACCTTAGCTTAAAACCGAGATAGGACTGTGTGTCCTGGGATGAGGGCAGGGATGCATTAATAGAAGGGACCAATCCAACCACTACTTCTTCTACACTTGTTGACATGCATGGATAATCCATTTAAAAGTTACCAAGGTATGGGGCTGGGGATTTAGCTCAGCGGCATAAGCACCTGCCTTGCAAACATGCAGTTGTGAATTCGATCCCTATTACCAGAAAAGAAAAAGTGGCCAGGGTAAATATGACTGGAGATGTGGGACCCAGTCATAACTGCCTGCATGACCATGCTGAAGGGAAAGAGGGGAACCCTAGGGACGTAAAGGAAGTCTGCCTACCCCTAGTAATGGGCTTTCACCTCTGGGGCCCTTCCTCCTATTGAGGAGTTTGTTCTGCTTCTGCAATAAATTCAATTTTGCTTTGCACCACTAAGGACTTCAATCTCTTATTTCTATTCTGAATTGAGAGTCCAGACTCAGGAAAGAAGACGGGGGCCCTGATTCGGTGTGACAATTTGAAGCTCATCTAGGATACCTGGAAGACACCAACATGATCAGTACCACTTGGCTTAAAGGGACAACCCACCAGGGAGGAGTGACTTTCCATTGTCTAGCATCTTCATCTTTTTTTTTTTTTTTTTGTCTTTTTATCGGTGCTGGGGATTGAACTCATGACTGCCTGCTTGCAAGGCAGGTGCTTATGCCGCTGAGCTAAATCCCCAGCCCCCTAGCATCTTCATTTTGTGTGCTTATTTCCCAGGAGGGAAGCAGGCAGGCTTCTGGTGCCACCCTCATACAGCTAACATATAGTTCTCCAGAATCCTGTTGGCCCAAGAATTCAGCCAACTCCTGGCAACCTACTTAGGGAATTATACTAACCTGCCACGTGCCAAGAGGCCCATCTAGGAGAATATCATGAGTGGTAGACACCTCTCCCTGGACTCACTGAAGGGCTTTCTTTAGAGATTGTGGCAGGGGATTATATCGCCCCCAGCCCAGGACATCCTTCAGAAGATTTAGCTATCAAAGGGTGCGTGCCTTTTTTGTTGCCTGCTCCAAGACTAGTTCTCTGGGATGCCTGGAGAAGGGTTTCCAGAGCAAGAAGAGTATTTTGCCTTTGTTTTCCATCTGGCTCATCACAGCCAGACCTGTGTAGCCTATTCGTATCTCCTCAGTCAGATTTCCAGAGTTCCTCAGACAGGTGGTTTGAGGCTCAGATTGATGGCACAGGTCTGTAGGTTGGAATGGGAATGAATAAATGCCCAAGTCTTGTACTTGTTGAGGTAGGTATAACCAGCAGTACATCTTCGTCAGGCCCCCTCTAAGAGGTTCCATAGGCAAATGTTCCCTAGGGATAATTTCTGCCCTGCAAGCCAAAGCTCTTGCCCTGTTGGGTCCATTTGTTGAACTCCCATGGGCAGTTAGCACCTTTGAGGAGTGGAGACATCAAAGATACTTGGACTACTAAGGAAGATAGATAGAAGGACCAGCCTTTTGCCCATGGGCATAGCATATATGGTTTCCTGCTAGGGAAAATGGTCCCTTTTAGGGTCACCCTTGGGCCACACTAGATGAGCCAAGGAAAGTTGGGATACCTGACCTAAGGTGCATGAGGAATGAATGCTTCCCTCCCAGCTGCCTCCTTCTCCCCTTTGCCTCAGATAGGAGCTCCTACCTTCAAACTTCCTCCAAACTCCCTGCTGGAATGCTTGCTTAACCACTGGAAAAAGTCAGATAACCAAACTTTCTTCAATACCCTGGCATGACTCCAGTATCAGGACCAGAAGGTCTGGCCTGAAGGAAACTTAACTACACCATTTTGCAGCAAGTTTTTGTTCTGTGAACAGGGAGGTAAATGGGGAAAGGTCTTATATATGCGATTATTTTTCACCCTTGGGGACCATCCTTACTGGATTAAAGGATGCCAAATTGATCCCACCCTATGTGGCCTGCCTCCTTCATAGGAGAAAGAATTTGAAAAGCTTCCAATAACACTAGGGCCTCTGTTGCTGTCCAGCTCCCCATCAACTGAGTAAAACACCTGGCAGGTTATGACATGCTCACCCCTCTCCCCCATGCTTACTGAACTGCTCCCAAGAAAAATATGCTTGCTCTCAGGCCAGCTCCTATGGGGAGGGGTCCTGCTAATCCCTTTCAATCTTGAGTTCAAAGAAGGAATTGGTATTAACAGGTGACCTTGACATGTATATTGGCAGCTTTGAGCATCTGCAATGTTGTATATGATGTGGCATGGAAAGATGTAGTACGTTGGGATGAAACTTTAAATCAGAGAGAAAAGTATGGTATGGGAACAAGCAGTCCAAGTGGAAGACAATTACAGCATCCTGAATCGTAAATCAAGAGCCCCAATACATTTGCAAACCACTGGAAAGGTTCAGGTTCCCTTTCCCAAAGATATATAATGATAGA